TTGGGATAACAGTTGTATGAGCCCCTAATAAAATGTTAAAAAAAAAAAAGAAAGAAAGAAAAAAAAAAGTAGCAAAGCTTTTGTAGCAAGGCTCTAACTCAGCTGAAGGCTGGGCTGAAACCAAGGACATTTCTTACCTTTGGAACAGTGCATTTTATCTCTTTGCATACCAACTCTGCAAGGAAGGTCTGCATTCCTGCCTGATAGGGGGAGATTTCAGGGATGGGGAAGCAATTCAACAGGAGAGATGAGAAGCTTCGGGGAGGGACAGTGAATTTGTGTTGCTGATAACAGAATTGTTTGGAATAGATTGTTGAGAAAGGTAGCATAATTGAAGAATGTATCAACTGTCACTGAATTGTAGAAGCAAACCATTGAAGTGATATATGTTTTGCTTATTTATTTTTTATTTTCCTGTGTCAAACCCTCCATATTTTTGTCCCTACCCCCATCTCTCCCCTCATTCCATTTCCCAGCCTCCCCGGTGTCATCAAAGTCTTCTCCATTTGTATAGAAATGACATTTCTTCTTTTTTGTTTTTCCTTATAAGAATGGTGATATTAAATATTTATCTTTGTGAAATTGATTGGGTTTGCTAAGCCTAATGTTCTCTAGTTTTGTCCATGTCTTGTGATGTTTAAGAGAATTATTGTTTTTATGATTGTATAAAATTCCATAGTATGAAGGTACCAGAGCTTCCTTAACCATTTCTCTGTAGTTGAAGGTTTGGTTGTTTCCATGTTTTTTCGTATTTGAGAATTGCTGCAATAAACCTAGATGTACACACACAAAAAATAGATAATAAAATTTTTTTAAAAATAAATAAATAAAGATTGTAGTAAAGTCATAGAGGATAGGAAAGATAGGAAAGAGAATACAATAATGGGGCCAGACACATTTTATGGTAGCATTTTCACCTCAGCTCCTCTTGATGGTCCACATGGGACTGGAAAAAGTGAGAGAGAGCCTTTACTATCTTGGGACATTTATAGGTAGCCTGAAGACATGCATAATCAGAAGGGTTACATGCATTGCAAGGTGGGTGGTATCTGCAGTAAGGTGAGGAAAGGAAACCTAATACCTGCATTGGGGAAAGGTATGAGGAGGACTGGGTGACCTGGCAGGAAGAACGAAAAGGATGACTGTTTCTGTAGGGAGATAGAAACATCCAGATGCCGTAGGGTCACAATGAGTCGACATCAACTCAATAGCAGTGAGTTTTGGTTAGGGACACTTAAAATATTGCTATTGGGACTACAGTATCTATCATGAATGCTGTGTGGGTAGACTGCCTTGGAATATCTAACCACTAATCATATCAGATTTTCTAGGATAAATATGCTTCAGGCCCCAAGTACTGTGAAGGTTTTGAAACCACACCCATTCATACTCTATGAACTGTCCTCACTGTTGCCAATCCCACTCTAACTATGGGGATTGCCCACAACCAGAGATACGTTTACCACTAATTCCTCCACCTAGACACGCAGCACAGTCATTGCTAACACGTAATGTTGTTTACATGTAAAATTACTATTATATTTACTTTGAAGTCATTAGACCAAAAGTATTTTTTATATTCCTGATTATTTTGTCTGCTCAGTAAATAAACATGACCTTTCTACCAAGTAGAATAGATTCTGAATGCTTTATTTTCATTCTCTGGTTCCGGACAGTATTCATAATGTACACACTCAATGAAAAGACAGCTTTTTTTATTATTATTATTAATGGGTTGTGTAGAAAGCATCTTAAAACCTCTCCCCTCCCTTGCACCCCCCACCCCACTGCCCCTATAGTTCCAGAAAAGGACACCTGTGGAGATGTATCTGGCAGCCCAGGGAACCTGTTGTTTGAGATCCTCTCAAAGCTTGTAGAGACTTCAGCCCTACCCAGAAAAGCAATCGGGGAAATAGTAAGGTAAGAGACCAGGAAAGGGACAAAAACAGACTTTGGAGCTATTAATAAGGCAATCACCTCTGTTAACACCCTGCTGAACAGAGTCTGATCCACAACAGGTGAGGAGGTGTCTGGGCAGGTGCTCCCATGCCACCAAATGAGTCATTCCTTCACCACACAGCTACCGGGCTCTGAAATTGCCATTCTGACCTCAGGGCACCTGAGGGCCTAAGATAGCCAGGAAAGTCAGCCTCTCTTTCCCAAGGCCAGAAAATTCCAGAGGAAGAGGACTTTGCCGGGCATGCTGTCAGGTGGACTTAGAAATCCAGACTGGAAAAGAAGAGACTCCCATTCATGCTGAAAGTGCAGGGGAATTAGACTTGACAATAGAAGATAAGGTAACATTCCAACGCCAAAATGTGTTTACTCCAGATAAATATCATTAAGGGTCAATTTCCCCACAGTAGACTTTCAACGCTCCCTATGATGTCTCAGTGGATCCTTGACTCCCACAGACACCGAAGGCTCTCTTTCCAACATTACATCAAATCATAGCACACCTCTGCTCAAAGCTGCTAAAAGCCAAAGTCTTTCCGATGGCCAGTCAGGCCCTCTACAGGACCTACTGACTTCATCTCCGTGCTGCCCTCCTAGTTGTCCCACAGATACATCAGGGTGCCCTGCCTCCAGGCCTTTGCCCTTGTTCCTGCCATCTGGAGTGCTCACCCTCCAGTTACCCTCATGACTCTTGCCTCTGTTGTTCAAATGTTATCTTCTCAGTAGGGGCTGCTCTGACCCCCCCTTTTTTTAATTTCAACCTCTCTACCACTTTGTTTTCCCTCCTTTGCTTTATTGTGTTTCATATTGCTTAATCACTAATATCTGATATGTTATGTGATTTGCTATTTCTTTTGTTTCATCATCTATTTTCTCATTTGAGAATATATGCTCCATGAAAGCAGAGATTGATTTTTCTATTTTATCCACTGCTATATCCCCACTGTCTATAAAAATGCAAGGGGGCATCCAAAAGTTTATAGAAAAATTGAATTGAGTGATAATGGAATTTCCCACAAACTTTTTGAAGCCCTTCCCTCCCCCTCCCCCCGCCCTGTACCAGGCACTCAGTAAATATTTGTTGAATAATTTCATTTAATCCCCAAGTCAGCCCTGTGAGTAAATTCTAATACCCACCCACTGTCATGGAGTCGGTTCTGATTCATTGTGACCCTGGGCTGTAAATCTCTAATGGAACAGGCAGCTTCATCTTTCTGGTGGGTTTGAACCACCAACCTCATTTCAATACAGGCAAGGAGAATACAGCACAAAGAAGGTCATGCTGTATCACCAGCCCAGATCCCGCTCAATCTGCCTAGTGGGCATTCAGATGCCATTTGCACTTTAAAACCAAACTATCAAAACTTACTATCAAAACACACACACATCACCTCCCTTGCCCCACCTCTGGGAGCTCTTACTACCAAATTAGCATGAAATACGACCTGTCACCTTAGCCCCTGTGAGCAGCTACATCTCCCTCCCACCTCTGCAGAGGACAACTGACCGTTCGAGCAGCAACAAGGAATCTGGTCTCATACCACTACCCACCCTTGCCATCAAGGCCCTTCTCAATCATAGTTAACCTCCGTGGGCTTTCTAAGACTGTAAATCTTTCAGTCTCATCACCTAGTAGCTTTGAACCTCAGCTCTTGCAGTTAGCAGCCCAGGAGACCACCAGGGCTCACGCCGTCACTGATATTTGAAGCACTTGTGTTTGTAGGTCAGGTGTTTATCTCTTCGGAAATGTTGTGAATTAGAATCCCTTGTCATGTAGAGCCTGCTGCGCTTATTTTTTAAAAATGTATAGTCAGAAATGCATGGTAGTCCATTCATACACATGTGCACGCCATACACACACACACATACATACATAGACACACACACCACATATATATTAGCAAAGAAATGTAATTTATACAGATTTACTGTAGATAGTATAGCTACTGGTAATATTTTATTTATGCCTTCCTATATTTTCTAAATTCTCTGCAATGAGAACGTCTTCAAGTAAAAACAATTACCTTTTAAATTCAACACAAAGTAATAGAATAGGAGACAATAAATATGATGATGTTTGTGTTTAAGCCAGTACCCCTCAAAGGTTTATTGAGAATCATAACCCAGAGGGATTTTTCTTGACAAAAATAGAAGGACTTAGGGAAGAGGAGGGAAAACAAAGCTCAAAAATAATAGTCATTCATGGAAGGAGTTAAGTCCTGTCCGGTTACTCTGGGCAAGGCCAGACCAAGAGCAGGACGTACTATCAGGAGGCACATTCTGGTCCGTGCCTTGCTGGTTACACTCGGAGGTGATAAGTGGCCACCCTCCCCATATGGGGTGTTGGCAACACTCAGCCACTGAGCCGGGTTTTACGGGTTCCAGAGAGGTCAGGATGGTTCTATCATTTACAGACTCTTAGTTGCACCGAGCAAATGTATGTGTTTTTTTAATTAGATTGTACAAGAGCCAGATTATCCAGTTTCTAAAATAACTATCTTTAAAAAATCACCTCATTTACATAAAGAAGTACAGTTTCTATCATAAAAAGTTCAATTTCAAAAAATAATACTAGTCAAATGGCCTGTAGAGAGTTTCATCAGGTATTCTATAAATGTCACAGAAATAGGTGGTCAATAATATTGTTGAGTGAATATGCAAATTTAAAGTAAGTTCATGGAGCAGACATATGACAACTTATAAACTGACCTTTTAAATTTTTGTTTTATTTTAAAAGTTTTTTCAATAGTTTTATTGATTTAAAATTCATATATCATATCCTTCCATAATTAGACTATTTTTTAAATAGTTGTATATGCCTCATCACAATCAGTTCTCATGCTCCCTCTCAGCTCCCATAGATATTATTTGTGACCCTTTTTATGGCCACTTTTTCAGTAGACTAAAGAACTTTTTTCTGAATTACTTTTTTTTTTCCTTAGCTATTTCCGAAGAAAGTTCCATGACACCACTACAGGAGTAGCATGGAATTCCGGTATGGATTACGGGAAAAGGCAACTCAGGCCAGACATATGCACACCTCCAAGCTCAAGCACAGCTGCCTTTGCCAATGCCGCCCGGACTGCGATAATGAGAGAAAAGGATTTGTCTAAATTTCTTGAAGAGCTCAAGAGTAAGAACTAGTTGTCCTTTCCCAACTGTCTTAAAGGATTTGGTTGTCTGTATAAAAGGTCAGAAATAAATCCTAGAAGCCTAGTTCCTTAAGCGCAAGGCCACAGACAGAGTGACTGATTTGTCCCACAAATGTAATATGAAAGCAAGGAAACATCTTTCCTAAATCCTCAGACACCAGGGTGAAGCCCAGAGTCCATGGCGGGTGAGTGGGAGGAGAGGAGGAGATGGAGGGCATATCAGCAGGACATATGACCACAGAAAGGAAGAGTAAATGCAAAGTAAAGTTAAAAGTGACATGTATGTCTAATATGTGCCTGTTTGTGACACCTGTTTGTTTTTACCTTTTTAGGATGCAATCCTCCTTCAGATAGCCCATATTCAAAAATACCCATCTTTCCATTGTTTCCTAATGTGGATGGAGTGGTGATGGGAAAGCCATTCAAAGACTTACAGAAATTAGAGCTGCTAAGGAGAAGAGAGCCCCTGCATTTCTTTGAGAACTATTTCTTCCACAAAAGAGACTGGAAAGCGCAGGTGAGGTTAGAGGAAGTCACATCAATTAATGTAAAGACTCAGGTATGACTGACATAATAGCCATACTTTTTCTTTTTTTTTTTTTTTTTTCAGACAAATGTAATATTTTTATTCAGTAAGGATACAAGAATGTTAATTTAGGGCTGTTTAGGAATATGAAATAGGGATCCAATGATCCACCTGCCATTTCACCAGCCCTTTCTTACCCTTAACCTACTCTGGCCTTTACTTTTTTTTTTTTTTTTTAACATTTTATTAGGGGCTCATACAACACTTTTTCTTTTTTTTAAGAGACCATACTTCACAGTAAGTATTTTCTTTTCCTCATTGTCTTTCAGCTCAGATTTCATACCTATTTTCATTTCAATGTAAATATTTCATTTAATTTAGCAAATAGTTCAACCCACTGGAAAACACAAGCTGAGACTTAGAATTGGAGGTGAGGAATATGAAAGCTATAGCAATACAAAAGGCCTTCAGGTCCTCTCTCCAACTGCTCTCCCATCAACTAGGGAACCAGAAGCTGCAAGTTGGACTCCATCGCTTAGCTCTGGATTGCAGTTGAGCCAGTTTCTAGGTCCACAGCCCACAATGCTGTGAGGAAGGAATCATCCTGCCCTCATTATGGTCCCAGCTGTACCTTCTAGCCTTGTTTCAAACCTTATTTGCCCCTTTCTCAAAATACAATTTGTCATTATGAGTCTTAAAGTTTCAGACAAGTGAACTTGAGCCTCAGTTCAGGCTTGTCCTAGCCCCCTTTGTCTGAGAAACAGGAACAAAATTTGACTGCAAACCTGCCGGCCCAGTGGGGCCCTTCTAAACGTAGGGCCATGTGCAACTGCAGTGAGGGGAGAAACTGAAAGAATACAGCTCAGGAGAGAAGTAAATAACGAATACAGGGGAGGCTCAGGAAATCAGGAAAGCCTCTCAGGTACAAGAAAGGGGAGAAAATAAGTGAAAGGATGGAGAACTCTTAAAATGGACAGAATTAAGATAATTCCTGTTAGATTCTAAGGAGTTGTTAACGTCTGGTTTTCCAGCTGCCATTGCGAGGACTGTGATGAGCATAAAGAGGCCCCGATGTGACTGGATAATAAGCACTTCAAAAGCACATTATCAAAGGAGTTGTATGGTTTCCCCCGGCATTGCTCAATAGCCCCCGCACAGGGAAAGCAGTTGCTGGGGCCTCAGAAGAAGTTTGCAAGTAATGCAGTCTGTACCCTGCGAAGGCTTCAGCCATTTTCAGAGGCTTATGATGGTTGGGCAGCTTCAGGCAAGATGGAGTTGTGTCCTCTCTATCCTCCATATTCATTCCACCCCTTCTGTCTTATACTGCTTTAATATGAGTAGCCATCATCATTATTAAAGATAATTTATTAAATGCGAATTTCTACATGCTCCAAAGCAAAAGGAAATGGTTTAGCAATAACTTTTATAAATCATGTAAATCCTGTCATGTAAAATATTCAGTTGTTAAGTCTCTGTTGTATAATTTAAACTAAAATATTTTCCTGCTTTCTGTTTTAAATATCCATAAAGGCGACAAATATAAAGCCTTTTGATCCTGCTTCAGGCTACCCACATGATATCTTCACCATCGACCAAATGATCAAGAGAAAGTCGTCTTGGACAGTGACAGACGCTGCAGCTGTTAAACCGCACGTGAGTATTCACTGTTGACAGTCATCCCAGGAGGCACTGACAAAACACTTTCCACATCACTATGCCACCATAACCCAAGAGAAGTTTTTCCAGCCCTTGTCGTTACTATGCGACATTATCATTTCTCATTTGTACCTATTGTCATGACATTTCTTGTTCTATGATCCCATTCAGTCATGAGTTGTTAACTGTTGTAATTCATCTGGCTAGTCCTGTCTGTAACCAGGCTCGGCATCATTTCTAGATTACCCATATGTGAAATGTGAAAAACCAGAACTAGTGGCTAGTTGAGGTGATAAAGCCACAGTCAGAGTCAGGGCTTCTTAGGGCATCCAGGTGAGTGAGCGCCTCTTCATGAGATCAGCTAATAGAATAACAACGGCTTAAGTCAGCTCCCTAGGGCCCAGCCAAGATGCAGAGTTCTCTACAGGTGCTGATCCATCACAGCAGCCCGTGGGGTGGCTCTAGTACCACCCCTTATCATCTCACAGGCATGCGCAGAGGAAAGTCTTAGAGCCAGCATTACAACCATGGGCAACTGGGCTCCAGAATTCAGACTTTTGACCCCAGCGCTGTGTGCTCTTTTCCTCTGTGCTGGTTTCCTAGCAGCTCTTGTGCCCCTGAGGAATCAAACTGGTGGGGGGGGCTGCTTTATCCCATCTCCTCTCTACCTGTAACACTGTCCTCAGGCTCCCGTGGCCCTTGCCACTGCCGTGCACGGAATGGTTCTGTGGCTTCAGTTCTTGCCACTGACCTTTCCTGTCTCTCTCTCTCCCTTTTTGGGAAATTGCTAATAGAATTTCTTTTTTGACAAAGAAGAGGAGCAATTTTGTCAACTTTGTATAATGAATGTTACCTAATACAGTACATGGGCTTTAAAGAATAAAGTCTGTGCATTGGGTGGAAGTTTACAGAGCAAATTAGTTTGTTTGAGGTTTTTTTTAAATCATTTTATTGGGGGCTCATACAGCTCTTATCACCATCCATCCATCCATTGTGTCAAGCACATTTGCCATCATCATTCTCAAAACATTTTCTTTATACTTGAGTCCTTGGTATCAACTCATTTCCCCCCTTCCCCACCCTCCCTCTCCCAAGAACCCTTGATCATTTACAATTTTTTTTTCATGTCTTAACACTGACCAATGTCTCCCTTCACCCACTTTTCTGTTCTCCGTCCCCATGGGACGATCATTGTGATCAGTTCCCCCTTTCTCCCTGCACCTTCCCCTTACCCTCCTGGTATCGCTACTCTCATTATTGGTCCTGGTCCTGAGGAGTTTATCTGTCCTGGATTCCCTGTGTTTCCAGCGCTTATCTGTACCCGTGTACATGCTCTGATCTAGCTGGATTTGTAAGGTAGAATTGGGATCATGATAGCGGGGGGAGGAAGCATTGAAGAACTAGAGGAAAGTTGTATGTTTCATCGATGTTATCTGCACCCTGACTGGCTCATCTCTTCCTTGTGACCCTTCTGTAAAGGGATGTCCAATTGTCTACAGGTGGGCTTTGAGTCTCCACTCACACTCCCCTCATTCACATTGATATAATTTTTTGTTTGGGGTCTTTGAAGTCTGATACCTGATCCCATCGACACCTCATGATCACACAAGCTGGTGTGCTTCTTTCATGTCGATTTTGAGCTTCTGAGCTAGATGGCCACTTGTTTGTCTTCAGGCCTCTAAGACCCCAGACACTGTATCTTGTGATAGCTGAGCACCATCAGCTTTCTGCACCACATTTGCTTATGCACCTGCTTTGTCTTCAGCGATCTTGTCAGGAAGCTGAGCATCACACCAGGTTATTAGAACAAAGTGTTCTTGGGTTGAGGGAGTACTTTAGTAGAGGCCCAATGTCTGTCTGCTACCTTAATATTTAACATAAATATATGTACATGGATCTATTTTCCTATCTTTATAGATAAATATATTTACATATGTACATGCCTGTATTTAGACCTCTATGAATGTCCCTTACCTCCTAGTTCATTCCTCTATTTCCTTTTACTTCCCTCTTGTCCCACTATCATGTTCGGCCTTCATTCAGGTTTCAGTAATTCTACTCGGCTACATTGCTCTTGATCAAGCCCCACCAGGCCTCCTATACCCTCCTCGCTATCGATGCAATACTCAACAGTTCCACTCAACAGTTCTGACATATTCTGTTTGGGGACATTGATTGTGATCCCACTAATGTAGCACAACTCTCTTCACATCCTCCCTGGCTTTCCTTTTTCCTCCATCCTGCTTTCCTGCCCCTTCCTGCCTTCTGTGCTGTGTGAGTGTGTGTGTGTGTGTGTGTGTGTGTGTGTGTGTCCCCAGCAATGCTGCCCTTTGGGTTTCCTATGGCCGACTGTTCTAGGGAGTGCCTGCCTGCCTGGTGTTACTGTTCTGTTCGCCTTATAAGCCTGTCTGTTTTTCTTCTCCAATAGTCAGTCATCCATTGGGTACTGATCTTCTAGCCCCATTTTACTGCTCTTCTCATTATAGGCATCCTCATCCATTTAGTTATTCTTCAAAGGTTTATCTAATATTAACAGAGTTCTGGGATTAGGAGATAGCAGAGCAGAAAAAGCACAATTTCCTACGTCAATGAGCTTTGAAGTGAGTCAGAAAGCATGGGGAAGAAATCAGGCACAGTAGTGCACTGAAATAAATGGTAAGCACTACAGGCCACAGAACACAGAGGCTCAGACTTCCATCCTCTGCCCCATCCTCATGACGCATATTCAAGCTAGAATCTATAGATTCTAACCTGTTTATAGACTCTGACCCTGGGGTCCTAGCCTTCTGTTGCTGTTGTTGTTCGGTGCCATTGAGTGTGTTCCAGCCCACAGGGGCCTTATGCACAAGAGCAAAACCCTGCTCAGCCTTGCACCAACCACCCTCACAATTGTTCCCAGGCTGGAGTCCCTTGTTGCGACCATGGTGTCAGTCCATCTCCTTGAGGACCACCTTCCTTCACACTGGCCCTCTACCAAACATAATGTTCTTCCCCAGGGATAGTCTCTCCTGACACCATTTCCCAGATGTGTTAGGTGACGTCTCACCACCCTTGCCTCTAAGGAGCACTCTGGCTGTACTTCCAAGTCCGATCAATTTGCCCTTTTAGCAGTCCATGGTACTTCTGATATTCTTCTCCAGCCCCACAATTCAAATGCACCCATTCTTCTTCGGTCTTCTATAATAGCTATCTACAGGGGCTAAAAAGTTTGAGAGATTTAATCATTTGGCATCGCTGTAACCCAGCAGAGCACTGGGCTCCCTGCCCTAGGTGAAGGAACGGGGAGCAGCGAGGGCAAGTATTATTTGGGCTGCCCTACCCAACCCTCCTGGTTCCAGCTCCTCGCATAAACTGGTAACTCTCAAATCTGTCGCCAGCATGGACTTCTGACATCTCGTGGACCACAGATGAAGATCACTACCTTTCTATCAGAACACTGTCCACCTTCTCCTCAAACTGTGCAATTTCTTCAATCACCACATCTGCCTCTTTAACTCTTAATTCCACCCATCTCCTTACTTGAGCCCTCGTTAGGTCTGCTTGGTCTTCGCTACCTCTGTAACGGCTTCCCACCACCAGGCTTACACCGCCACGGAGCTCCACATGGAGATCCAACCGTGTCACTTTCCTGCTTGAGAATGAAGGCCTCTGCTTCTAAAACAGATCACATTAAATGTGTACTTTTGTTTTTAACTATGCCCCCTTTCACCAGTCTGGAGCCCTGGTAGTGTAGTGGTTGTGTTGGACTGATACAACGGGTCAACAGTTCAGAACCACCAGCCTTTCCTCGGCAGAAAGGCAGGGCTTTTGACTCCCCTGAAGAGTTACAGTCTTGGAAACCCACACGGGCAGTTGTACCCTGCCCTATAGGGTCGCTGGGAGTCAGCCTTGACTCCGTAACTGGGTTTTTTTCACCAGTGGTAGGGTTTTCCTACTCTATTTTCTGTTGCACACACCAGAGGAATTTCTCTCCCTTCTATTAGGAACCGTGGGTCGCTGGAGCACAAGCTTCCCTGGGCGGGGGCTCTGCGCAGCCTCACTGAGATTGCTTACTTACAAGCTGAAGGACCACCTGCTCTCATAGGGGTTCCGAGTCAGCACTGCCTCAATGGCAGTGAGTTGGGTCACTTTCTTGATTCTATCCAGAGCTCCTCTTCACCCCACACCTCCTTGCTGTTTTAGGCTAATACATTTTCAATATTGTTATAAAATGATGTGTTATTTCATTATTACCAAGTAATACATTTGCATTGCCCATCAACTCCTAGCAGCAGGTCCTCAGAAGTACTAGCGAATGTACGAGCGGTTTTTAAGTTGCCTGGGGGCATCCCTTTGGGGGTTCTACCGTGATCCACAAATACCTGGTTTTTAAGGTAACCGCAGTGAACTGCGTTTTCTCTGCAGGTGAAGAGAGTCACAGACAGCTATAACTTAGGGATTGGCCTGGAACACCGCAAGGAAATGCTTGACCTCTGGCGGAAGATCCGGGGGGATTTGATTGGGATTGAAGCTAAAAATGAATCCTTTTATGACACTTTTTCTACGTACACGTGGTCCTGGAACGTATGCCAAGAATTGCTTTCCCCAAAGGACTTAAGATTATACGATGCCTGCGTGAATAGAAATTCCTACCAGAATGCCGGGTTCTCGTCGCCCTCGGACTTCAGTGAGTGCGACGCAGAAACAGGAAGGAAAAGAAAGCGGAAAGGTTCCAGAGGCTTCCGACAATGAAATTTCTACATTTTCTAAGCAGCTCCCCGCCGTAAACTACTTTTTCGTTGTTATCAAATTTATGGTTTCTTGCTTTGGGCTATATTCGTCGCAGCTGGAAATGTTGGCATCTTTGGGATTCTGACCAGTAAAAAAAAGAAAAGAAAAGAGAGAAAAGAAAAAAGTTTAACTCATGAAACGGTTTATCTTTCCTGATTCTTTTTTAGTTCACAGACGCTGTACCCGTTAGCTTTGAGCGTGTCTTTTCCTTCTTCGGGAGTCTTAGGGAGAGGGTTTGGCCATGAGTCCGAATCTGACTCAAAAACTCACTGCCCCGAGTCCATGCTGACTTATATGACCCCTGGGCAGCAGGGTAGAACTGCCAGTGTAGCTCCTGAGGCTGTAAATGGCCTCAAGGCAGCCAAGTACCAGCTACACTCTGCTGCCCTCGCCTGGCTCAAAACTGCAACACGCGTCTGATTTAAGGTGATTAGAAGTGGCCTTGGGTTTTTATTTGTGAAAGAGGCCCGAGACAGCCGGTGGAGATGACCTTTTAATTTCCGGGAATAATATCACCAGTCCCTGGGAAACCTTGATTAAATTGAGGCGTTGCCTTCCCCTCCCACTTGGAAGCGATGCTCTGGCTAATGCAAAGAAATAACTGATCTCATTCATGGCGTTTTTATTCTCCTGGTTCTGCGCTGGAAATTCTTCAAGCATTTTACAGTGGGTCTCAAAGGTTGACAGCAATGAGATCACTCTGACCCTCAGGAACTACAGATGTACAAGGACGAAATCGGTATTTATGACCTTTGGGTCTAAGAGCAGGATGGCAAATGTGTTTTGCTCCCTGGGTCAGCTCTGATCTAAAAATGGAAGGAATGAGATCAGTTGTTTGTGAGCACTATCCAAGCGATGGCTGAGCAGATGTGGGGTTAAGTGCACAGATTCAACAACTCCAACATATAGAACAAATGCCTCTCTCATCGTGATTCTAAAATAATATGCTCCCGAAAAAGACAAAGATATGGTCGATGCTGATGGGAATGGTGGTGGGTAATATTAAATTTTACAGTGACAGAAAAACCAAGGAACATCGTGAAAGCCCCCCAAAACTGTGTACTGAAATAGCCATGGAGTCATGGGGAGATTCACTTGAAGGGCTCCCTAAAATTTGCAAAAGACTCTAAATAGATTTACCATTCTTCATAAAGTTACAGTGTTGGGAAGAACACAAACCTTACAGATAAAATCCAAACCCACTATTTCGATCCCAACTCTTGGTGACCCTACAAGTAGAGAAGACATCCCATGGGACTTCCATTCCGTCATCTTCACAGAAGCAGGCTGCCCCATCTTGCTCCCATGGATTCTTTCAGTTACCAGCCCCGAGCTTAACACTGAGCCACCAGGAGCCCTTAACCTTGTAGACAAGCAGCTGCATTTCTAGCCAAAAAATATGATTTGGGATTTGACGAGAGTTGGGGATTGCCAATGAGTGCCACAGGCAATCTCAGAGATGTCTTGGGAAGCCAAACTCAGAGGATTCCTCACTGCATGAGCGTACAAACACTTTGAAATAAACTTATCCCGAATAATCTAAAATGTACGGTAATGCATTCTTTCTATTAAATTGCCACATACTGTTGGTGACCGCACAAATGGGTACCTCTCTGCCTGTGTACAGTTTGGCAACAGGTCCTTATCCTCTCAGTCACCAAGGACTTAGTAGGTTGCACATTGTACACAGCCTCTATTCTAAGTCCTGGAGATAAAACAGTGAGCCAAACAGCGAAAATACCCTGACTTCACAGAGCTTAGTAACAGAGCTAATTATAGCCATTGATTCAGCAGTTCCATTTCTAGAAACGAATCCTAAAGAAATAGTCAGGAGCATAACAAATGATTGCGCTCCAAGGATGTGCCTCATGGTGAATTTTTTTAAGAGTAAAAGCCTAAAATAGCCGACCTGTCTGGTATGTACATCCAGCTCTGTACCGGGGACCTTTCAAGTGATGTTGTCAAGGGAATAATGTCCAATTGAAAAACAAGTCACAGATTGATGAGGGCAACAAATTTACATATGTGCTTGACTCGATGGATGGATGGATGCACTGTGATAAGAATTGTACGAGCCCTCAATAAAATAATTATTTTAAAAAGAAAGAAAAACAAGTTATAGCCTCTCCCAGGCAGGAGGAAACTTTACTTTATGGTAGCCCTAAAACTTGATGATGAATGATGAGGGCAACAAATGTACAAATGTGCTTGACACAATGGATGGATGGATGGATTGTGATAAGAATTGTACAAGCCCCCAATAAAATGATTTAAAAAAAAACACTTGATGATGGTGGTTGTACAGATGTATATTTTTATTTAAAAAACTCTCAAACTGTACATTTAAAATTGATGAATCTGAACAGTTGTATGAGCCCCTAATAAAGTGTTAAAAAAGAAAAAAAAGAGGAAAAAAAATTGATGAATCTGTATGTAAACTATGCCTCAATAAAGTTTTTTTTAAAAAACAGGATACAATGCAGTTTATTGTTAAGCTATTTTAATTTAAAAATTACATAAATAGAAAAAAGGCGCAGACAGGTAGAGACTAAAATGTTAAGGGGTTAGGTAAATGGTGGGAATGGGATAGCCTCTTTACTCCTTTATTCTTCCCTAAACTTCTTAATAGTCTTCAATAAACATCCAAGACATGGGAATTGTTCTAAACCCAGAACTGTTCAACCCACCCTTACAATTTCCCAGAGCTGCTGCTGAAGCTGTGCTGAAGCTGTGCTATGGACACTTGGGAGTTGTTAGGTGCTGGAAAGTACTTTTGACGTGTGGTGACCCCATCAAACAGCGTAGAACTGCCCCAGCGGGTTTTCTAGGCTGTAATCTTTCCAGGAGCCCATTGTCAGGTCTTTCTCTCATGGAGGGTTGGATGGATTCAAACCACAGATCCTCACGTTTGTGGTCGAGCATAGGGGTCCTTGGTGAAACTTTAAGGAGAGCAGATGAGGGCTCAGCTCACAACAAGGCAAGAAGCTGGAGTGTGAGTTCTTAGCCCTTTGCATCCTTGGAACCAATGCCATCCCGAGAGCTGGAAGAGTTCTCACCATGGACCAGCGGGGGGAGACTGATGGATTTTGTTGGATGTCATCCTGTCAGTTCAACCGTTCAACAATGAACACACGGCCTGGTACAGCACCGTTCTCACAGCCAGGCTGTGACTGAGCCCATGCTGTGGCCACAGGGTCGATCTGTCTCACTGAAGGTCCTCCTCGTTTTCATTGACTCAGCTCTACCAAGCACGACGCCCTCCTCCAGGGACTCGTTCCTCCTGATAGCATGGCTAATACCAAAGAAAATAAGCCCATGACCATGGAGTCAACCCCAACTCTCAGAGTGACCTCCTATAGGGTCCCTGAGACTCTGAATCTTTACAAGAACACACAGCCTCAGCTTGTTCCTGAGCAGTTGATGGATTTGAACGATTGACCTTAGAGTTAGCAACTCACTGACCGCACAGCTGAAACATGACACTTCTTGAAGCTACCAAACCAAGCCAAAGCAAATCAGTTGGCTGTCCAGTTGGTTCTGATTCAGTGTGACTTCCTATATACTAGAGCAGACCTCAGAGTTTCCAAACATTGAATGTTCAGGAATGGTCTTCAGATCCTTACTGCAGGAGCTGGGAGCTAATTAACTACTTGTTCCACCTACAGGCCCCCCTGCAGCTACAGTCTAGTGTAAAGTCAGTTATCTGCTTCCACAGAGCCCTCACAGCCAGGTCTTCCAAATACCATCGGAAAAATTGCATGAGTATCTTAGGTCCTTCAAAAAGATAGATTAAAAATGAATTGTACAGGCCAACTAAAGATAATTGTATAATATTAAGTTTGGGATACTTTATCACATTTCACAGAGAGTCCTAGTTATCTCGAATTTTAAATGACAAATCGCTATTGGAACATTACAGTAACTTTTCAGGGAAAGACAGTAAGCTATCTGCAAGAAAACATGCACTGAGGCTGTTGATTATAAGCACTGTTCTAGATATATAGTGTGGCTATAACGGCAATAACTTGTTTTTTTACATTAGTGAGGCAAGAAAAAGTTTTATTATTCTAACCCAGTGGGAGAAATGCACTGTACTTTGCTGATTACAATGCTGGATATTGGTCAGAAGGCAGAAGGTGGAGGATTGAATGACCCGTGTCCTAAATGTAGAGTGAGGGCTCAGCCCCCAAGCTTTAGGATGACAGCCTAGTCTAGTCTCCACGCGACCGACTTGGAGGTTCAGAGCCCAGGGATCTCACCACAGTGGGCAATCTTCATAAAGGACAGAATTTGGATTTCAAAACAAGAGTCGGGGTCAACTGCCAACGCCACACCTTTACGTTGCTTGGCAAAATAGGTGGGAACTGCTCTGCATCGGTCCTCGATGGGTGTTCCATAGTGGGCCAAGTTCTTGACCTGGCTGGGTAAAACGGGTGGATGGATGGGGATTGCTTTAAATCCTGTTGGCCCAGGGCTCTGATAATTTCATCCCAAGTTGGGAAGGCAGCTTGGTCTATCTTGGCCAGGACACAGGCCCTCTTACTAAGCAGCCTAGCTGCCAAGAAAGCATTTTTGTAGTCCATGACTCCATTCCATTCCCTCAGAATATTGTTGTCTTGGATGCTGACCACACCTCGGAAGGCATTGACGTGGGTACTTTTGGTTCCAAAAGACCCATCCAGCACACGGCTGTCACTGGTGTTCATCAAGGCCACAGACGGAGTTAGGAGGAAAATCAAAAAGCACATTAAGGCATTTCCTATTGCACATCTCTCAGACCCCATGAAACTGCATGCATAATGGAATTTCCCACATCCTATTTATGTTCTAAGTTTGGTTTCTATAGACCCAGACCTCTCAGCTGTAGTTGTGATAAAAAAACTTAGTGGCAGTTGACCATGACCCAGCTCATGGCAATAGTTTTAACAAAGAAAACTTTATGGCTAGAAGTCCAAGTGCAGGGTAGTAACTCTAAGGGAGGACGTTGTCTCTCTGAGCTCTAGGGGATGAGACAGTCCTTGTCTCAATCTTCCCCTGCATCTTGGATGTTCTCATCGCAGGGATAAGATAAAAGACCACGCAGGCCGCACATGTAAGGAGACTTGCCTTACATGGAATCGGGGCTCTGGCTTGACTGGGAGTGTTGCCTCCCATCCTCATCCCCAAACCACCAGTTGGCTAATCACATGACATCACAAGATGAGGAATGGTCACATTGTGGAGAATCAGGGTCCTGTCAAGCTGACAAATATTTGGAAGGACACAATTCTATCCATGACAAGCTCTAACAGGTTTTGATGTGGAGAGAAGAAAAACTGATAGGAGAACAAAAGGCTAAAATAAATACAAATCAACCACCATATCTGCAAACAGCTAGCCTTGAGAAAAGAGAGACCTTGTACTTGTTGGGTTTTTTCTTTGTTTTCTTTTTTAAGTCCCCCCACCCCCAGGATATTTCAAAAGACCTTGAGTCTGGTAAAATAATTTTGTCTTGAAAATAAATGACCAATTCTTTACTCTCTTATCTTTTTTATTCACTTGAATAGGGCTTGCTTGTTCTGGATTAGAAAGGTTTTAGCTTTATCCCATTGGTTTGGTTGGGAAAAAATAGACTATTGCTTCCCCTTCACTTTGCGTCTAGGAAGAGCACCCAGTGGAATAAAGCACCACCGTGGACTAAGGTGCTAGTGGAGGGGTGCACTGACTGACTACAGAGCCTTCCTCCTCTTCCAGTGGCAGGCAGTCTGTTCCGAGACATCGCAGCGAACTTCATCTCACACTGAAGACGTACTCATACATTCTGCGTTCTTTTGGGAATCATTTGTTAGAACTATGAAAATCGAAATATAGAAAGAAAGGTACATCAATATATAAAAACCGTGTGTATATGTGCATTACAATCTTGATAGTGCTAACAGAGCTGTTTGCTCAGCAAGGCAGTTCAAACGCACAGCTGCTCCACTCCGTGTGAGAAAGATGAGGCATCTGCGCCGGTAAATATTCACAGCTTTTTGTTGTTGAACTATTGAATTCTATGATGTTAATTATATGCCAATGAAGCTGTTTTTACTTTATTTTTCCTCTTTCATTTCACATTTATTTTTTAAAGATCATTTTATTAGGGGCTCTGACAGCTCTTATAACAACCCATATATCAATTGTATCGAGCATATTTGTACGTATGGTGCCATCATTCTTTTCTAAATATTTTCTATTTGAGCCCTTGGTATCAGATTCTCTTTTTTGCCTACCCGCTCCCCATGACCCCTTGATAAATTATAAATTATTATTTTTCATATCTTACACTGACTGCTGTCTCCCCAGTGGTTTCTGTTATTCCTCCCCCTGGGGGAGGAGTGGGAGGTTATGTGTCTATGACTGTGATCCGTTCCCCTTTCTTCCCCTCTGCCCCCCACCTTCCATCTACCCTCCTGGTATTGTTACCCCCATTTCTGTTCCTGAGGAGTTTATCTGACCTGGATTCCATGTATGGTGAGCGCTTATCTGTACCAGTGTACATGCTCCCGTTTAGCCCGAAGTGAAAGGAAGGACTGGGGTCATGAAAAGCTGCTTTTTAAAAATACATCTTCACAGCTTTGGACTCGACTCCACACCGGCGCGTTAGAGGTCTTGGAGGAGCAGGGGCGGAGGGGAAGACCGTGGAAAATGCTGTTGTAAAGAGCTGTCAAGTCTGTGTGCAACGAAAGAGTAGTTATGAAATCTATCTGATTCGATGGATAAGCTCATGTGCTAGGCATTCATTTCACTGAATAGGAATCCACACTATGAAAAGCTAAATATACAGAAGTGGGGAAATTGTGCTTTTCATCCTCTGCTGCCTTCCGTTTGGGCCATCAGCTTCATAGCGGGGCTGGAACCTAGACTTAGCCTAACTCCATTTGCCCCTTGCTCCACACTCCAGTCTCTGTGGACTTTTTGTAGTGTTCTGTTTGCTCAGAGACAGACGGACGGTGTGCAAGTATCTGGATGATGTGCCGTCTGGACAAATCTGCCTGAAGGGGCATTCAGAAGTTGAAGGAAATTGCATGTGCATCATAAATGTTACACTTACTGTTTGGCGGGATCCTGAGAGTGGATATGTACATCTTGTGATTGGCTTGTGACTTGGGTCATGGAAAGTACTGGAAAAATCCATGACTCCCCAAGATATGCATTCTAGTGTAAAAGTATATTATCTCGATATATTCTGACCACAACTGGATGTATGCCTTCATGTAACCGTCGCCGGGCTCCCCGCTGGTGTCCCCTTCTAAGACATTTCTCATTTTCCTTCTAACTTGGCGCTAGTGAACTGGCTCTGCTGCTCCCGGCACGAGCCCCTTTTGGAGGTAACAGGGGCAGAGTGGAAAGCAGAGGGTCAGACTTTCCCTGAGCAGGCCAGCGCTTCGGCACTGCACCACCAGGGCGCCTTACAGTGCAAACAGGTGCCCTCTTGACTCAAGTGATTCAAGATCAACCCAGTCTTAAACATGAGGAAAAGTGGGGTCCCTGTGAAGACGATCCCAGCAGTGAACTGGGGTTCGTTGGGACGGTTCTCACTTCCTTCAAATCCTACACGTCCACCTCCGCCTCCTCTCGGGAAAAACAACTCCAGGGAGAAATTTTGGCCCCGCGTCGTCGCCTTCCTCAGAGACTCCTCTACACCTCGAGGCCGGCTGCACCCCCGGAGGCCGGCTCCACCCCCCGAGGCCGGCTCCACCCCCGGAAGCCGGCTCCACCCC